GGTTAAATACACTTTTGCAAAAATACAGCTCCAAGCTTTCACCAATTTTGGGGGGTGCGGGGGAGGGGGGGTGCATGTTGGTTTTTTGATACAGGGTTTCTCTGTGTAGTCCTAGCTTTCCTGGAACTCACTCTGTAGACCAGGCTGGCCTCAGAACTCAGAGATCTGCCCGCCTCTGCCTCCCAAGTGAGTTAAAGGCTACCACCACCCGGCTCACCAATTATATATTAGGACAAGACTACCACTAAACACCATTGGCCACCATGCACGAGACTGCCATCTTGGATTTTTCTATCATTCTCTACAAAGCAATCATGACAGTAAGAGCAAGGGAAACACGTGTAAAAAGGGCGTGTGCAGGTAGCAGTAAAGTCAGAGGCATCCGATCCCCCTGGAGCTGGAGATAAAGACAATTATGAGCAGCTCCCTGTGGGTGTTGGGGACCCAACACCCATCCTCTGCAAAAGCAGGAAGTACTCTCTAATCACAGAGCCATCATCCCAGCCCCTTCAGGGACATTTCTGCACAGGAAACCCATAATTATCTGTAAAATAGCCTGCAGCACTCCCCTTCCCCAAAATAATTCCTGGGCTGCTGAGCAAGCCAAGACACCTTGCTGGATCAGACTTCCCAGGGATTCGATCAGAAATAGAAAAGTAAGGCAGACCCTGATGAACGGGACTTGGCTGTCCTTTAACAACCACCCTGACTGTGTAAGTAGCTTAACAGTGTGCAAGTGTGAGGGCTACTGAATGTCCAGGGCTACTGCATACACTCCACAGAGAATGTGAACATTAAACATCCCCTTCCTGTTTAAACACTACCCCAGTATTTCATAACCATGTAATTATTCATTAAATCTGTTATTGGAAACATTTCATACTGGAATGCTTGGTTATTTGAATTCTCACCATCAACAGAAAAAAACAAACAAGCAAAACCAACTTTGAAAGACCTTGGAGCAGAAGAGATGGCTCAGTGGTTATGAGCATAGGCCACCCTTGCCGAGGACTCCCATTCACTTCCAGACCCAACTCCAGGGCATCCAAAACCTCCGGCCTCCATGGGCACCTGCACTCATGCACAACTACCCACCCAGAAATACACATACCTACACCCAACTCCAAATAATTCAAAATAAATCTTAACAACAACAAAAGCAACAATGAAAGGTCTTTAGTGCTGGCTGGGGGGGGGGGGCTTTATTTTCTTTAAGCAATCTTTTAACTGACTAAAATAAATAGGCAACACAGACAGACAGACAGACAGACAGACACACACACACACACACACACACACACACACACACACACACATACACACGGGAGGGGGGCGGGGAACGTGAGCGCCTTGCTCTACTTGGATCAGCGGAAGCCAGCAAGAAACAGTTAGACAGATGCCAACTTTCTCGGCTTGCCAGATTTTTGCTCTAGAAGGAATATTAAACACAGTTCTTTGTCCATGAATTGTGAAATACGTTATATACTAATGAAGAATGTGTACTCCATTGTATGTTTAACAGCATGCGCCTGCTTTTGGTTTAATTGACCAAGAATAAGCCCTTGTTCCTCAGCAAAGTATCAAGTTACAGTCAACTGTTAAATATTCACACTCATACTGAGGAACAAAAGTGCAGATAATAGGAAACACAAGACTTATTTTAAATCATCCACTTGCACCATGCAGATATCTCTTTTCTCCTCTTTGAACCGGCCATTAAATGTGGAGGGTTGAGACCACAGCACGTGGCCTACTCTCTGGCAAAGGACTTAAACTACCCTGGGAAAGTCTGGCTTAAGGCGGTCTCCATGCAGACCTCACACTCAAAGTCTCTGCTCACCTGAATCCTGGGCAGCCTCGCCCTCACCCCTACACCCTAGAAGACTGCTTTCACCCCTACCACCCTAGAAGACTGCCCTCGACTCTATACCCAAGAAGACTGCCCAAAAACTAGTGGTTTCTTTCAAAGGCATGCAAATTACCTTCCCCCAGGTTGTCACTTTGCAGAATTTCACTTTGCAGAGGTTGGGAAAGTAATTAAGGGTTTGGGGTTAGAAAAGCCCTTTTATTCTAGCTCCTGCTGGGCTGGGGTAAACAGATTCCCTTAATGTCAACAATTACTTAATTAACCAGAGCAGGTGACAATGTCAGGAGAACCTGAAGATAAGACATGGACTGGCAGTCATCAAGCTTGACTCCAGTGGGACCATTCAAATATGAATCAACAGAACAGTTCTTAGCATCAGGACCAGCCCTCCCCAGTCAGCAACTGTTGACACTGTTGTCCTTTGTCATGAGAGACCAGTTGGATACAACCATTTCTAGTCTGAGACACTGAGTAAAATCGTATAGAGATTACTTTCTTCTTAGGTCAACTGACTTTGACCCAAGCCTGCTGCTGCCACTTGAGAAAGTGTCCCGAGACACACGGGACAGGACAGGATGGGGGATGATGACATACATTACATGATTAAATATACTACAGAGAACTACATGACTGGACAGAACACTTCCCTAAAGGGTCAAAAAAAGAGGGACTCCTTAGTAGGGGAGCACAGGCTCTTTCTGGGAACCTCTTGATTACATACCTCTCTGGCCCAACAGACATTATCTAAACTGAGCTTCCAAATTAGCAAACCAAAGTCTTGCATGGTAAAGCTTCAGCTGATCAAAGGCAAGCCTAGTGTTGGCTAGCTAAAGTTCTCGTGGCACTAAATAAGACAGCTGGGGACACACACACACACACACACACTTCATTTGGGGTGGGGAGACACCAGAGCCTTTAGCATGGAGCGGCATCTCTCACTTGATTATCTTCTAATCACCAGGACACCCATGGCAACGTTGATCTAACAGACAAGGAGAAAGTGCGAATCCTGCAGGGATCCCTCCCAGGGCAACCTCCATCTCAAACAGAGATTGCTCGCTGCTGTGAGAACTGGCACCACCTTGTCCCAGCTTGCTGGCAATGGTGGTAGCCAGAGCCACCATCAATGCCATCAACGCCAGAAGCTATGCTTTCTCTCTTTCTGTCCAGATCACTGATGAAACATACACCTCCTGAGGGAGTAGCCAGAGGCCTCTGGGGATGTTACTGTTCAATGACTATTGATAAAGAGCTTCTCCAAACTCATCATCTCGAACCCTCTGTAGTAGAAGGGGAAACTGAGACCCTCAGGTTTCTCTGCTTTACCCCAGCCTGTGCTGGTGAAGCTCCACACCTTCAAGCACTTTTTTTCTCTTCTTTTTTCTTTTTCTTAGCATCTCCCAACTCTGGATGTGATTCGAAATTCATGCAAACTCTGAATCTAGGGCAGTGTACCCAAGGGCATTGGCAGCGGCGTGTGACCTACAACTTCTGGGACTTCGTGGCCTTCCTCCCTAGCCCTACATGCATCTACAGGTCCCCAGGTGGTGGGATCTGCTTTCAACAATGCTCACATTGTTGGATATCAGTTCTTACACAAAGAGCCATTTGGGGGACTCCATCTCACTGTTCTTCCTTCCTCTCCCCCACCTGTCTTCTCCCTGACGTACACACATCTTGCAGCCTTCCTTAGGTAATTAGAAGCAGCCCAGGAAACCCTCCAAGACCATTTTAGACTAGACACAGAAATCAACTCATAGCAACACTGCCCCGAGAGTCCAAATGAAAAATGACAATTCCTTCCTCACTTGGGCTGTTTCTGAAGCCCGCACTGTAGGAAATCCCAGCCCAGCTTCCTGAGTTTGTGCTGAGCCACACACTCCAGGGAAAACCAGCAATTAGGGGAACATCCATTTTAATTATTAGCAAAATTAAAGAAGTACAGACCAGACTTTGAGCAACCCAATCCCTTCCCCTCACATTAAGCCCTTTGAAAACAGGTCACTGTTGCAAATTACCCTCTCCCCGATGTCACAGGATAAGTCACAAAGAGGTGGTGGTTCCAAAAATGGGTCTGAGGCTGCATGTTGAACAAGCCTTACACACCAGCTCCAACTGTATTTCCTTCCCAAAGTCAGGACAGGTGCCACAATGTCTCACCTGGTAATTTGTAACATTTCCAGGCATCTGTGAGGCCCAACATCCCCCAGGCTCATTCACACAAAGCCAGTGAGAGTGCCTGGGTAGATCTGACTGGAGACCCATCTCTCCAGCCCACCTCTCGGATGAGTATATAGTCCTCCTTGTGGACAGACATCCTTGGGGGTTCTGTCCACCCTTCCTCCCTGGAGAAACACACTGCTCCTCAGGACCCTGATTCGGGGTGCATAACCACAGCAGCTCAGTTGACCTGCCAGCACTCAGGACCGTGACGGACTCCAAAGCCCAGCCGGCACCAGGTGGGCCTCAGCAAACACGTTCATTAAGTGGCGATGAGAGCTAGGATCTGCGGCGTCACGCTCGGATTACCACTCAAAAAATAACTCGCCTACCAATATTCCCTCCCGATGACAGATTTCCATGCTGCACCAAGCAGAGAGGCTTGGCTATCGACCACGTCTCTGAAGGACCTGGGAGAAGGACCAGATCTTTGCCCAGCTCAGTATTTCAGCATGGCCTCCTCACAACTAGCTTTCCACAACTAGCTTCAGAACCTTCTTTTAAACAATGCAAAGAAAACATCAGCTTTTGGAGGCTGCCTATTTCCGTTAGCCAAAAACCAGCGACTCAAGGCTCTCCCTCCATCCCGAAAGCAGCTGCAGAAGGCCACAGATGACGGTCATTTTGCTAAAACACATCCCCTCCAGAGTGCTGCAAGGTATTGGCTGAAAAAGAGCTCCAGGCTGCCTCCCTCACCCAGCACAGAGAACAGAGCAAACTAAACCACTCCGCTCCTACCTAGGAGCCAAGACCCTCCTTTCTAAGATCTGCTGTGGAAGATGTAGAGAAAGATCACCCTTCTCAGGCACCTGACTAAAAAAAAAAAAAAAAATTCCTTTCCTTTAATGACCACTTCCCCAAGACATGTCCCCACAACAACTTGGTACCTTAAAAATGGCATGCAAGAACTTACCTTCTGGTTCTAACGTAGTATCCTCAACTAAACTGAAGGAGGGCCGGGCCAGGGACAAGGTTGCCATGGTGACCAAGACCAGGCAGATGAAGTGCCCCCAGCTGACCATGGTCACAGTGCCAATCCCTGGTCCTCTTCCATATCTCCATGTGGACGGCAATCCCATCTGCACACTTCCTCAAGGACCATGGGCTGCCTGCAATGCCTTCAGCCCACGGTGGGGCTCAGGAGCCAGAGCGCTGTGGCGTGGCTGTGTTCAGGCGGCGGCGGCTGCTGCTGCTGCTGCTGCTGCTGCTGCTGCTGCTGCTGCTGTTGCTGTTGCTGCCGCCACTGAAAGAGATTCAGCCAGTTAGTACAGTCTTTTCTCGTGCCAACTCGCTTAAACCCAGATGGGATAAAATCGTTTGTCAGCTGTGATCAGACACATTCTTTTTCATTATCGACAAAAGCCTTCCATCCTCACCTCAGTGTCCCAGGTGTTTCCAGAATGGTCCACAAGCTGGAGTAGGCTAATCTTTTATAAAGCTTACTTTTAGGAGACACCAAGATGAACCATAGCTGTAGGACCCAGCCACTCAGCTACACACACAGAGTGTGCCCTTCCATCCACTATCAAAGCTACCAGGTTGCAGAAGCAACCTGACCTTCCTCCCTCTCAAGGGCAACTGAAAAAAAAAAAAAAACGAGTTTAAAACGCTGGGCTTGGCACAAGCAGCCTCATTAACTTTTCTTATTCCAGCTGGCCTTTAAGAGGCTGACAGGAGGAGGGTCTGCTCCGAGAACCACATTTCAGCTGGGCTGGAGCTGAGCGGCGTGTCCTCCCCCCTCCCCCCCCACCCCACCCCTTCAGTGTAATTCCCGGGAAGAAAGGAGACCAACAGAATCAAAGAATCCCAGGAAGGCTACAAAAAATTCCCACCAGTTTACACTTGTCAGGATTCATTTTCAAACGCAGGCCTGTATTTGAGTCTCTCGCCAAGTAACCACTTACAAAGAGTGAGTTTGATCCAAACGGGGGATTCAAAGCCTGAATTCCCTTCCACTTACTACCAGGCAGTTTTGTACAGGCATACTAACTAAATGTCTTCAACCTGCGTCAAGGGGGTTAAGATACAGAGCAGACACAAACCTTGATGAATAATGCAGGAGTTTATTACTAATGGTGATGATACCTGTAAGCTGTCCTGGTATGTGATTGGCCTGGGGGCTTTCAATATGCCAACCTATTGGCTAAACTTCCAAAGTATCAGTTACAAGGGGGCACTCAACTTACTCGATCCAAAGCAGAGAGAATTTCCCAAGAAAGCTTACCACTGAACAAATAACTTTAAATTTGTTCAGTGTCCTCAGTGACTAAGCCTTGAGTCAGAATGCACAAGTTTCAGTGACTCTGCAGAAGACAGTTGCAGGGAAGGACTGGACAAAACCCTGGGCGCTGGATTCGGTGAAGCACGCTTTATGAGACTGGGGTTGGCTGAGAGTTCCAATGCCAAAGAAAAAAGTCTAATCCTGCGCTTTTGATGCTTTCAATTATGACATAGGATTCCAACATTGACAGAACCTCCCTGAACAGGCCCTGTCCTAAAATCTGTTCCTTTTACTCTTCACTGGGAACTCAAAGGAGTATAGGCGGAAAGAGGAGGCATCCTCTCCAAACCGGGAATAAGAAGCTTGTTTTGGTTTTGGTTTTTAAGCACAGGTAAAATGGTATCGCTAACAACAAAAGCCAGGAAAGTGTGTGTGTGTGTGTGTGTGTGTGTGTGTGTGTGTGTGTGTGTGTGTGTGTTTAGGTGCTCAGCATTTTTTAAGATGCCTTAAAGGATTTTTCTCCCCAACTCTTTTTCTTCTTAAAGTCAAGAGTCCCAAAAGATAATTCCCTATTTCTACATACCTGTCAGAGCAAAGTCCACAAACATTCTCATTGATTTACTAAGAACTTCCAGAATTCAGAGAAATTCTCCACCTCTCAAGCACTTTACAAACAATCTCAGATCCTAGTCGGTCTTGCCGCTTCCCCACAACCCCTACCCAGGAATGCCTCTGCTGGAGCAGGAAGATGGCCAGTGCCCCGGGCTGACTCAACTTGAACGTTGGTTCTTCTCAGGCCCAGGCCCCACAGCAGCCACCTCCTCAAACCTCTGTAAGGCGAGAAGGAAGGCAGCAGGTCTGCGCAGCAACTCACCGGAGTGGACAAAAGTGCTGAGCGACCTCCTAGGCAGGATAATTAGGTCCCAAGGCTCGGTGTTGGGAACACAGGCCCAGCATGCTGCTGGCGGCCACAATCCCAGCTTCCTGCCTTCAATACCATAATCCTTCCTGGAGGCTGAGCCCCAGTGAAAGCCCCAGCGTGTTTATTTTTCCCCCTGAAAGGGAACTCTCTTCTCAGCCTACTAGGGAGGAGTCCTCACCCTCGCTCTGTCGGGTGGCTCTTCACGGCCACCCGCCCCTTAGGGTCACCTCTGCGCAAGTCTGCCTCCCAAGACAGGCAAAGTGACCGGCAGAAAGGGCCTGTCTGGGGAGCTTGAGCAGTGCTATACAACTTTGCACACTCTTCTCCATCCTCAAGAAAGCAGGCTAATTGAGGGCCAACGGGGGGGGGGGGGGGGGCTGCTACCTTAAAGGGGCTCTCAGTCCCAGGATGCCTAAGCAGGCTGAGCAATTGGCATTTTGTTCCCAAGTGGATTTCTCATGGCAGGAGTCAACACTACCAGGCTAATACTAAATGTAGACCTCAGTCCTGGCTCAAGGCTTCCTTACTTCACGCCGTGGCTGAACAGGGAAGGGAGCTGTCACGGGCTGGGGGAGGGGAGCCTTAAACACAACGAAATCCCCAAAATGCAAGCTGCCGTAAGACCACAATCCCCTGCCCTCCTGTTTCATTGGGTACTTTGAGCAGCTTGGGGTGCACATCACCACCCCACTTCATTGTAGTATTTCTTTCATTTGTCAGCCTGAAATATCCAGTTTTGTCCTTCTTCTTGGGGCGCTAAAGAGCTCTGAGAAATCTGCATTTTAATTGACATTCCAACGAGAGGGAGAGGGGCGCCTGATTGCTTTTCTATTCAAACTAAACAGGCTTTTCAGATGAAAATGAGTCGAGGCTGGTGGAAGATTTACAGGGATTTGGGACGCCTGGGACAATAGAGTTTTAAATGTTGATAGCATTTCACACCAAACACATAATGGGTGCCCTGAGTTTTAAAGCAAGTCTGCCTTTAAGGGTAGGTTTTATTGAACTGGGGGGGTGAGGAAAGAAGGTCTTGGGAAGTTTGCAGGGGCGCGGAGGAGGCTCCGCGCCTGGGGCCGGCCTCCCGAGCCTGCTCCCTGGCTGCGACGGTGGAAGCCAGCGCCACGCAGGGCCCTCGGCGGATTCCCCCGCGCTGAAAGAATGAGCGCGCAAGTTAGAACTCGCCTGCGCTTTCGACATCTCGGCGCGGCTGCGGTCGGAGCAGCTAGGAGAACTAGGAAAAGTCGGTCCAGTTCGCCCCCTAGCCCCAGGCGCGCGGCGATCCCTCCTGCGCCAACCGCTGTGGCGGGCGAGAGACGCCCGGCACTGGAATCCGGGACCCGAGCCACTGCCTCCCGAAAGGTGCCACCCGGGCATCTCCATCCCTTGAGGGATGTCGCCGGACACACTCCAGCAGTTTCTTCCCAGGAAAGAACCTCTCCCAACGGCCTGTATAGTACCGGGTTGGAGCTCCCAGAGCCCAGGCACCCCGAAGATGCCCTTCCCGAGCCCCCGCCTTTGGGCTGTGCCACTGGCAGGCGGCCCCATGGCGCGCCGGCTCTGAGCTCAGAGGAACGCGCCCAGTCGGCAGGATTGCCCGCCGGAGTCTGACAGGGTGCCGGCGGCAGACACAGATGTCAGCATCTGGATGGAGGTGCTGAAAGAACTCCCCCAAAGCCAGCCGTCCACATGCATTCGCTCTCCCACCACCAATCCAGCCAGAGACCGACAGGGCGCGCCCCCAAATCGTTTCCCCAGCGCCCTCCTCCTAAGGATCCTGCGCCCCGGGTCCTCCTACGGCGCCCACTTTCCCGGCTGGCGAAGCTCCCGGAGGCGTTCGGCACGGCGATTACCTTGAACGGCAGCGCTCCTCCGCGCTCGGTGCTGTGCTGGAGCCCGGAGTGGGTCGGGATGGAGCAGACGATGAGCTCGGAGGAAAACTCCAAAAAGAAAAGGATCCCTTGGTTTGCAGCCGGCGCCAAGGTTCCGAGGCTTCACGCACGCCCCGGATCGCAGAACAGCGAGGACATGACGCCAGCGCTGCCCTCGGATCTGGGCAGCGAGAAGAAAGGACTGGGGTTTGGCGTTGCCTACTCCAAACTTTGCTGGCGAGTGGCGAACACTCGCAGCACGCAGGAACGCTGAGGCCCGGGGACTCACGCCCGGCCCCCGCCAGCCCGGAGAGCAGTCGCCACGCCGGGCCAGGGACGCGCAGGCAGCCCCGGCGCCGGAGCTCGTGCGGCCGCGCACCCGATCGTTCGTGCGCCCGTTCCGCGCCCGCCGCCGCCGCTCGCCTCTCCCGGCGCTCTCCCCGCGCCGCCCGCGCCGCCGCCGCAGCCTCCTCGGGAGGGTCACGCCCCCCGCTGAAACCCGAGCCGTTTCCTGGACGGCGGCGCCCGCTCTGCCAATCAGCGCCGCGCGCTGGGGCAGTCCCGAGCCCCGCGCCGCTCCCGACGCCTAGCCGCCGCAAAGAGACACCCGCCCAGGAGGCTAGGGCCCCTGCCGCGTTGCCCTTAGGGGTGCGAGGATGATCTCTCAGAACCTGACTAGTGATCCATCGGATCGTACGCCCTGGGTCGCCGCTGTCCCCTTCCCTAGCCAGCTTCGGTGTACGAAGTGGATGGGTTACATTGTTTCGTGTCAAGTTAGGAAACAAGTAACAGAAGGCTGTGCACCTTCACACATCTGAGAATATGTCTGCAGGTTACTGGGGCTGGACATTCACGCCACGGAGCTTTGAGGGTGGAAGCAACTAATATTCGTGGGAGATGTTAGCGTTATCTTGTCCTTCTGGACAATAGAAGGGAGTGGGGGGGCGTGTCTTTGGGAAGTCCTCTTTTAGGAAGGGGACTTGTGACTAGGTAACTGTACTTAATTCGCACATTTGCCTTCCGAGCAACTTACCCAGATTCTGAGAAGGAAACTGGAGAGCAGGGAGGTTAACACAGCTGGCTGTTGTTAATGTGGCTGTCTTCGAAAAAGCCAAAATCTCCAACAGAAAATACCTCGCTTAATAGTATCAATGTAGATTAGCATAAAGAAATCCAAAGGAGATTTGGCTGGAGAGACGTCTTGGCAGTTTAGAATGCTTCCTGCTCTTCCAGAGTGCCAGAATCCAGTTTCCAGCATTCTCTCAGGCCCTCACAACAGCCTGTAACTCCAGCTACAAGGGTATCCAAAGCCTCTGGCCTCTTTAGGAAACTGCACTCATGAGCACATACCCCACACAAAGAAACAGACACATTAAAAAAATAATAAAATAAAACTAAATCTTTAAAAGAAAAAAAAGGAGACTGGAGAGACAGCTCAGTGGTTAAGAGCACTGCCTGTTTGTTCTTCTAGAGACTCTAGTTCAATTCCCAGCACCCACAAGCTGGCTGACAACAACCTCTAACTCCAGTTCCAGGGGTTGGAAGCCCTCTTCTGGCCTCTGCGGGTACTGCATGCGTGGTGTGCAGACAGACATGCAGGCTACATCCATACCCATCAAATAAAATGAAGATAGATAGATAGATAGATAGATAGATAGATAGATAGATAGATAGATAGATAGATAGATAGATAGATAGATAGGAGAGAGAGAGAGAGAGAGAGAGAGAGAGAGAGAGAGAGAGAGAGGAAATCCAAGAGTCTAGAGGGCTTGGAGATGTTGAAGAGTGGTAGATCACTTGCCGAGCATGTACAAGGACCTGTGTTTGATCTCCAGCCCAAAAAGAAAAAGAGAGAAAGGAACTTACATACTCAATTCTATCAAAAAGAGTCATCTGAACTTGAGCAAATTGGATTCTTCTCTCTGAATCTATGTTCTTCAGTTGCAAAGCAGGATTCCTTTACTAAATGTCAGGCCAGGCTGTAAATGATTGGCATCTCCCATTGTCTCTTCCACTAGGCTATCTTGGGATCATTTATCTTTCAATATACCCTCTCACTCATCCAACCCTTGAGCAACTGTTTTTAAATTCAAGACCATATAAATTGTAATCCTAGCACTCAGGAGTGTGAAGCAGGAGGATTGCCATGAGTTTGGGGCCAACTTGGTCCACACAGTAAGTTTGAAGCCAGGCTGGTCTACTGAGCTACATTTTGTCTAAATAAATAACTTAAAGTCATAATTATTGAGCCAAATATAGTACCACAGGACTGTATTCCCAGAACTCTTGAGATCCTGACTCAAAAAGGCCACTAAGTTCAAAAGGACTCCTTCTGGCACCTGAAGACAGACAGAGCCAGATAGTAAAGCCCACCTGTGACAGCAGGTTTGGAAGGAAGTGGCACCTAACACTTGGACTTTATACCATTGACACACATGGATTCCTCAGGCCCTGCTTGACTAGATCATTTTTATTCACAGAATAGCCTGGGAAACTTCTATGCAAATCACTGAAAAGCTAGGAGAAACAAATCCATTTTCTATGCCCCAGGCAAATAGCTATGAAATTATAGTTTGGAAATTCAACAAAAATAGCAACCCAATCCCCAAACAAAATAATCTGTCTATATGTTTAGTGGGGAGGGATATGTTTTGGATGAGTCCTCTGGCCTGGATCAGAACACCTCAGCCAGGTGACACTGGGCTATTCACTGCAGCGCCCACGTGTGTTATTCTCTGACCTGGAATCACAAACACGAGGCCGTGGTCCCGCTCCATGCCAGTACTTCTGTGTTCCCTACTGATGGGAAACTCCGTGTCTCAGGGCACAGAGAGCCCTTTCCCATTCTGCAGCGGGTCCACCAGCCATTGAAAATGAGGTTAGCACATTCTCACATAAATTAATGGCCCAGGAAGCCGCTGTCCCTGTCCCCCATTCATCCATAGCTTTATGGATGCTGAATGGGAGGGAAGCCTTCCGCTGAAAACAAAAACACCTTCTTTAACGTCAGAGGCAGTGTGCAGAATTTCTTCTTTAAGGAGATGAAAAGGTAGCCATCCATCCAAAGTCCCTGATTACCAAAGAACACTCTTTTTTTTTTTTTTTTCAAGTGAGCAAAGCCTACAAATCCACAGTAGGAAATTCTTAAGTTTAAAAAAAAAAAAAAAAATTAAGTATGCTTGGAATTTTTGGAAGAAATCAATTTTGCATCATATTTAGACTTCAAGTGACCTCAAGGGTCTGGGGAAGCTTTTGCCCCAGCCAGGCTTCTGAATGAGAAAATAATCTCTTTGCAGGTTTTCTCCTCTCTCCCTTCTTCAAGTGGCTGGAACCCCTTTTGTCAATGGCCTCCCGTGAATGCTGTTACTAATAAGCCTATTAATGAGTTTCCACGGCTGAGTGTGAATAGGTAAATAAGCCCCAATCTGTTGAGGTTCTGGGGGTGAGGGCAGAAAAGGCAGCAAGAACTGAAGGTGACAGTTGGAACTGAAGGCGGCTGGGCGGCAGGTTTCAGCTGAAAGAAACCCCAGACAAGGCCACATTCTCCACCCTCCACCCCCTGCGGGGCCTCCTTTCTTCCCAATTTTCCCCTTTTACAAAATGTCTTGAGTAGTCACCCTTTTCTTTCTCCCCAAAAGGCCTCAGGATGGCCCCTCCCCTCCCCCAGCTCCTCTAGTAATGATCTATCAATGGAATGAAGGAGAAACAGGGGCACCAGAACTCAGCTATCCTATACATTTCAAGAAAGAAATTGTGCGGTTAACCCCGTCGCTGGGAGAGGCGAAAAGGAAAGGCGGAAGACTCGGCCTCTCTCTGTTGAGATTCTGATGTTGCCTTTTAATAACGTGTGTTTGAATGGGTTGTGTTTCCTTCACCCTATGGAAAAGTTGGGTGAACAAAGGCTGTGTGACACTGAAGGGCTCTCCAGCCCTGCCAGTGTGGGCCAGGCTACATGCAAAATGATGGGTTTTCGTCTTCAAGTGACATCTCTATAAAGTCCAAAGCATGGCTAGAGTTCAAGCTCATGGTCCAGGACTGCAGCCGGGCAGCTTACTCCGGGATGAGAAGAGCCCACACTCTCTCTCTCTGGCTCCGCCCATCAGTTTGTGACATTTCACTAAAGCAAAAGACGTTGATCCCATATTGACACTGAATGTCATCCAGGATTCTACACTGGATGGACCTGCTTCCCTGGGCATAGGGAGTCCCTCTGGAAGCCAGACATGGCGATGTACACCTGTAATCCCAGTACTAGGGAGGTAGAGACAGGGAACCAGCAATTCAAAGACAGCCTCAGGTCGTGAGCTGGGGGCCATCCTGGGCTACATGAGACAATGGCTAAAGAAGAATAAGGTCCTCCTAGAAAGACTATCTCACTTGGATGCCAAGGGAGTGTGCTCTGTGAGGGTGGAAGGCCGTGCGGCGTTCCCCCTCTCCATAGTTAGCTCCTCCAACTATGTGAACCTGAGCCGGCCACTTCAGTCCTCGGGGTCATCTGTTTTCTCTGTCCCGAAGGAGGGGAAGTAGTGGCTCTGACGTCACTGCTGCCTCGTGGATTCCAAAAAAAACATGGATGGATGAGGATGGGACAAACACCAGGGGACTTCCAGGGGGTTCCAGAAACGTCAGCACATGGGAGAGGCCATGTGTGTTCTATGATAACCACCAACCACCCCACAGGTTACTCTCCCCACTGCCCAGGACAATCAGGGGATTGAGCCTACGATGGCTGTCCTGTCATTATTGTGCTATTACTAATAATTAGTAAGGACCTCCATTAATGCATTCCGGAGCCATCACGGCTGGTAGGCCCTCCCACCCCAGCAGAACAGCCCAATGAGAACCACCTGAGAGGTCAGCCTTGGCATGGTGGTGTCCTCGGTTGCACAGAACGTGGGTGCAGGGAGGGGAGTGAGGCACCTCAGTGCTGGTCAATACCTGCTGCTCCTGTGCAGTAGTTACTGGCGGATGTGGAAAGGACTGTATGGAGCTGGGTGGACCGCACACTAGAGGATACAGGTGGCCCTGAGGGCCACCCTGCAAGGAAAAACAGCATAAACACACAGCTCCAGCAAACCTGATATCATGTACCTCTTCT